TTTATATGTCTAAGTGCGGCACCACATCCTCGGACAGAGGGGGGTGATTCATGGCACGGTCCTGCCAGGTCTGGTTGCGCCGAACAGTGCAACGCACCTTCCATTCAGAAATATCCTCACGCAGCCGGCCCACACGCCACTCTGTGATCCAGCACCCAGCTTCCGCCAGCTCCCACACGAGCTCACGGCGCCAGACCGACAACGGCCATGCAGTCCTTGTCATGATGTGCAGCACAAGGCACTGTCTCAGTGACCAGCGGCTTGCAGCACAGCACACGGTCCGCGTGCTTCTCTGTTCTGTGTCCTGGCCACACTCTTGGGTGCCGCGTCCGTGTGTCCGACAGAATCTTTTTGACAATGTGTGTCACAATGTTCTAGGCACTTGGCCGGTATGTCAGGACTTCTTAATCTACTTTCCAATACTTTGACCACCTGGCCCACCCATACATTGTACTGGCACAGTGAAAGCGGCCCTATGACAGCTGTTCTACGGAGTGCATCTCAAATCAACGCCATCCTATTGCATTTGAGATAATGGCATGCTCGGGTCATCCCTTTGAGTGTGGTCAGTGGCAAAAGAAATGACCATGACGAACACCTTAAACGGCAAAGATCACCCTTATTTATAGCCCATTATGTGGTGACTTGAATAGTGCACAATGGAAACATTGAGCTGAGGTGTTGTTTGTTAAGCTCTTGCATCACAAACAGGTGCAATAATTGTGTGGTCTTCTTTTTGTTGGATTACCCAAAACACAAGCTTTCACCCAATTTGCAATGTCGGCGTCAATTTGCCACTGGCAAAACGGCGCCCGCCGTGTATCCAATGGATACACGGCGGGCGCCGTTTCACCACTGGCAAAGTAGTGCAAGAAAAAAAATCTTCTTACAATCGATTTTTGCCATACATTGTGAGCAACATTCTACCTTTTTATTTGCAAACAACATAGTTCAACAGACCTCTTGTGGAAATGCAAATTTTTCTAATAATATGTTGTGTGGGAAGCGAATCGTTTTACTTCCACAAATACAGCACTTTTTCGTGCTGGTTTTCTAGCAAAAGAATCGAGAGGGGGGGGAATGGTTCGCCCCGTGACCCCCAAAGGCACTTCGAACGCTGCAATGCATCTGGAGCCCACAGTGCCAGCCGCCACTATACCCACTACACTGGGGCGTTTGCAAACTATTGTGATGCCCACCCTCAGCGCATGGCACTTTGCCAGGTCTCCAGCCGGCGTCTTGTCGGCAGCCAGCTTGTGCTAATCTTGTGCCATGGATCACGTAAATGGAGGGCTCTGGGGACCAGTTGCCGGAGACGGTATGTGAGTCGACAGTACTCGCCCCACCGGTAACTCCCCCCATTGGCCGCTCGACGTCTGGGCACGACTTCGTCATTTGCGCAAGGGCCTGGCTCGCGACCGTACACGCGCCTACCGCGCCGCGCCTTAATGCGGGCGCTGCCAGTGTCAATGCCAAAGGTCGGGTCGGATTTAACATATGCCACTAATGACTATGCGGGCCCGTAAGCCATGCCAGGAATGCCATTCTGGCATTTTGGTCCCCGGGGCCCAAGAACGCACCAAGGGGGGCCGGCCACAGTATTGTTTGAGCAAAAGGTAATTAAGAGAAAGGGGGAAAACTGAGTCGACGACAGACACATCTGGGTCATGTGGACGGGTCTCACACGGTGGCAGGAGGCCACGAGAGATGGGGGGGAAGAGGAACTGGCCTTCCGAGCACCGGGCTTGCATGAGGGATGGCGGGAACGGTTCGCAGAAGGTGTTGGCCGCCCTTGTGGGTTGGAGGGGCTGGCCGAAAGGACACGCCGTGGGAACTTGCGGCGCTTGATAGAGCCTGGGCCAACCCAAGGATCGCCGGAGACTCTGGCGTGAGCCGCCAGTTCCAGTTGCTACTTCCCAGAAAGCCACGGAAAAACGCCGATGGCAGTACAAGGAACTAGTACACAGTTAGGAGCGGTGTACTTACATCGGCGCAATCACGTTTGGCGTCGTGCGCCGGGAGAGGGATACTGGACAGGACTGAAGTTGCTAAGCTATCGGAGGCGAAAGGGCCATTGCATTTACAACATCATTCGCGTCATTGTTCAGATCTTTTTTCCCCCTCTTCCCTTGATGCATTGCTTTCAGTACCACTACTAGACCCATTGCTCTCACTCAACGTTTCCTCTTTTGAACCGCTTGGTTCATCCCCTTTGCCTTCATTGCTAGGATCGTGAGTGCCTTTCCCACTAGCCTCTGATGTGGTAGGATGTTCTGAGTGGGCGGACCTTTTGTTTGAAAGTGTTGCATCTCCGGACAGATCTTCAGTGCCAATCTGACGGGCCTCTTCTGGTATTTGATCCTTGGATGGGCCAGGAATGCTTCGGGTATTCTGCATCAAACAAAAATGGCACACCGTTCATTAGCCACTAAATTATAATTCAAGATTGAGGCATGATTCAAAATGGAGTGTTGCTGCTCTTACCAGTTTGTCAAGGAGTCCTTGTAGCTCCACCGTGCAATCTTTCTTGCCATGTAGCTCCGAGATGAGGTCCACACCAATGGGGTAATCATCATTCGTCATTTTCACGAGCATTGCTGCAGCGGTGTGTTTGCCAAGAGCTTCGAACACTTTTGTGAAGTCGCTCAAATCTAGGCATTCGAACTCCACGTCTGGAAGACACCTCAGGTAGTGGTGAACCAGCAAAGCCCAGGCTTCCTTGCCATCCAGCGACCTCAAATTGGCCACCTTGTCCAACCTGTCGCTGAGTTCCTCGGTCAATGTGCGGAATGTCTTTTCTTCAACCCTCTATAAGCAGATAACAAAGATCAGTTGTTGAACTAAAAGTTGATTCAGATACATTGAAAATGCATTGATGCATAATGTAAGCAAATACACTCCCAAACCACAATCTAATTGCATGTGTGAGCTCACAATCATTAAGTTGGTGTCTGAAGTTTTCATAAAGGGGACTCACCAATGGCGCCGTCCCTTCAGCTACTTGCATGAGCGCCTTTGCCTCCTTGCACTCCGGGTCCCTTTCCTTGCGAAGAACCATCTGAAGAAGGTCCTCCCGTTCAAAGAAAATCCTTAACCGCCCCACGCTGGCCGCGACCTGGTCCCCGTCCAGGTCGATCCCCACAGATGAGGGGCCCTCTAAGGCTGCCGCCACCTGTGTGGTTGCGGTGCCATTACAGAGGGAGAGCACTATGCCATCTTGGGGGGCCAGAGTACGAATCGGCACCCTTGCCTCCTCCAACCCTTTCTGCATTTTGTTCAAAGGGGTGTTTTTCTTGGACTTCAGAACCCCATCTATTTCTGGCCGCAAGTACTTGCTGGCCATCCTTGGGGGTGTCGTGAAGTAAACAAATTTGCCCATCATGTAATTTTTCTCCGCCTTTGGTTGTGCCTTCCCGAACTTCCCCACAACCACAAATTGGCAGCCGCCTAGCCCCATCTGTCCTGGGTAAAGGGCCGGTGTCCTGTCACTCACAAAAATGTACACCAAAGCTCCTTTGTACTTTGATTGGCCAACCTCCTGGAAAGTAGTTTCCACCTCTGGCACTTTGTCCTCCGTGGTGTACACAGCCACGCAAAAGCCGCTCTCTGATACATTGGCTCCCAACAAGCACGCGAGGAAAGTGCTGAATTGCTGCTTGCCCCACGCATCTGCAGGAGTGTCCCAATCCCCCTTGTCTAGCCCAAAAGGAGTGTCCCAATCCCCCTTGTCTAGCCCAAAAGGAGGGTTGACAACCACGAGGGTGATGGGGCCATACGTTGGAATGGCTTCGTACACAGCCACGTTCAAAACATTGCCTAAGCCCACGGCCGCATGCACTAATGGGCATTTCAAGGCGAGGTCCACTCCCGTGCCAAAACCAAAATCCAAACCCAGCCTTGCAGCAATCCACCGAGCAATAACACCATCAGGCATAAGTTTAATTGGCGGATTTCCACAAAAAGGGTCCACTGATTCTTCAAAACCAACGTAACCTCGACTTCGGAGATTTTCAATGGGCTTATCGAGGTCCACTCTGCTTATCCCGGGAACTGACTCCTTCACATCCATGGATGCCATATCGGGGATGGTGCCTTCTTCTTTTTGAAGGACAGCAACCAATTTGTGACCTTGGGGATGACGTGTTGTTCAAGTTCCTGAACAACTTGCTCATAGGGAGGAAGAAAGAAAGATGCCGCTCAGCACACGCCCTTGCCACAATCGTGTACGGCCAGTACAGAATAGACTCATCCAATGGCAGAGTAGCAAAACCATCTCCAAGGCCTGCACTCATCGTGCTGTGCGTGCCCACCTTCCGCAAGCAAACTGAACCAGAAATCTCTATGAAGTTGCCCCCAGAATGGCGGGTGTAGGGTGACTGCTGAACTAATTCAGCACCTTTGGCAACCCGGCACAGACGACTGTGTTCCTGATTCAAGACTTGCAGCTTGTAGTACAAGCCGTGACCCTCGTCCATGGCATCCTCTTTACAGGCGAACTGGGGAATCTAGTGCTGACCCTCCTTCCGGTCTTTGACAAGGTTGTTGTAGCGACTCTCGTATGTGTGGCCGGCAATTTTCTCCCGCCACCAACTCTGCCTGCCTGCCTTTTCACAAGGCATGACTGTTCCCTTTGACCTCACCAAGGCATCGATGAACTGTGCCCTCAATTTGTCAACAAAGACCTCCACAGGGCTCGCAATCATGTCAAAGGAAAAGGCAGCGATTTGGCTTTGTTTTGATTGCCACTCTGCCACCAAAGCCTCGGTAGCACAGGCGGTACGCAACTCAAAGTCGGTCAAGACGATGTAGAAGTTATAGGCATCGTGTTTGCCAAAACGAATTGTATAGTCATTGAGGTTCGCAAACCAAGTCCTCGAAGTGCTGAATTCTTTCTTAGCATCCGACAGCTTCCCTGTCACTTTCTGCATCTCAGTGAAAACAAACTTTCCGAATGTTCTCTGAGTCAGATATGAGACCACTGAGACAAGCTGAAATCACAGTGTCAGGGTAAAGGTGAAACGAATGCCTGTAGCTGTGTCTCTTCACAGTCACTTCGCCCGGCTTCCCCTTCTTTGTGGTGAACCCACCAAGTCCCCTACTCTCCATCTTCTCAAAAATTGCCAACCAGAGGTTGTAAACCGGCTCGTCAAGGAGTGCTAAACCCACCTCACTACTGCAGTGATGCATTGGACCCCTAGCCAATGTTTTCTTGTGGTTAGCCTCCACCTTGACTCTTGCCTTCCGGTAGTTCTCCTCCAACTGTTGACGTAACAAAGGAACGATCTTGTCAGTACAATTCACAAAAAAGAACACAAAATTTTGGACACGCGTCTAGTGGCTACAACCACCATGGAAATGTCGCAGCAGAAATTTAATGCAAGCTTGAACTATGAACACAACTCAAGCTAACCCACAAATTTGCAAGGAAAAATAAATGCACTCACATTTTGTTTCCTCTGGTTGAAGAGGGCAGGATTCATGAAAGGCATCTCTGCCTTCAAGTTCTCGAGCAAAGCAGTATACTTCTTGTACTCTTCATGCTTTGCAGTTTGGAAGGCCTTGACAGTTGCCTTCTGTTGTTCTGTTTCGGCACGGGTTTCCAGCACGGCATTCATCCTCTTAGCAAACTCCTCCGACGAGCGCCCCTGTGAGCCTAGGTCCTTCCAATGCTTGCAAATGAAAGGGCAGAGGTACCGAGGGTCACTAAAGAGGCTGTAGCCTATTGTCAATTGAGCCTCCGTTGCACAAGCCTCATTCTCGTACCTCGATAGAAACTGGAACAGCTCATCGGGGAACTGACTTCGAAAAAAAATGTAGCACGGGCGCACTGTAGAGGTGGCCACCCGGATCCGCTAATAGCGGACAGAGGTTAATTTCCGTTAATTTTCCGTTAATTAACGAAAAATAACGAAAAAAGACAAAAATTAATCAAAAATTAACGGATTTTTGGATTTTTTGGGGATTTTTGGGTTTTATTCATACTTATAGTTTATGGAATTCGCTATTAGAGAGTATGTTTGTATTTTATTTCAACCTATGCATACTAGATTTTCAACTAGCCGCAGTTGTTGTGATTTTTTGGGTTTTTTTTCGATTTTTTTGGATTTTTTTCGTTTTCTCTGAATTTTTCTCCCTTTTTCTTTAACGGAATTTAACGGACAGCTAATAAAAATTAACGAACCGGACTTAACGGACCGGATGGCATCTTTGAGTGGCCACCTCTAGCGCATTGCTCTGACCTCTTGCACCTTTTTACTATGCAAAAGGTGTGCGAGTGCAGCAGTACCGTGGTTGCCTATCAGTGTGAAAGCAAACACCTTTGCTTCCCCCTACTCCACTGGGGTGAGGCCCTCCAACAGAGGTCGGAGGTCGTACTTGGCCCACGCCACTTTTGCATTTGCTCCCCACTCCCTGGCAGCGACTGGGGCGAGGCGCTCATTCTCCACTTCCACACGGTCTTCAACAACAACCACGGCCGTTCCCAGATGATCGAAGTTAAAGTTCTCAATGAGTTGTGCCCGCCGATCCAACAGAAATGGCCTTGTTGTCAGCACAGTTGGGGGCCGGTGGTTGATGGAACCGACTAGCACATTGTCGATTCTGGCAACGGCAGACCTCAATATTTGGCAGTACTGCTCTTGGTCTTCGAGAGTGCCGCTTCCATATTGCAAGCCTATTTCAACATTCTCGAAATCGACAAGGGACTTTCATGCCAGCACTCCCTGCCCAGAACCCTCGAATTCCTGTTCCACTATGGGAGGTGGAATAGAAGGTAGCTTTTCAACTATCTTCTCTTTCGCCCGGGTCTTCTTCTTCTCTGCCTTGGGTCTCTATGTGCCCTTCCTTCCCTCCCCCTTCAGTTCCGGTTGTTCTTTAACTGCCGTAAGCTTAGTCTTGTCATTGACCTGCGGGGTTTTTGGCTCCTCCGCTGGCCCACCAAGTAGACCACCGGCTTCCACAACATCTTCCATCTGCGGTTGGCTGTCCGTCAACATTCGCGCCCCCCCCAATGGTCATGTCAGGGGGTGGTTCCGGCAAGCTGATAGGCCTGGGGCCTGTTGCCAATGATGCCATGCTGAACCCCGCAATAGGCATCACAACAGGGTGTTCAGTCTTCTGTCTCTTCGCAGGGTACCTGGCGGGTTCAGCTTTGTCAACTTGCACACCACTTGGGGAATGGTCGCCAGGCTCCTCACCATGTGGTTGAGAAGCACTACGGACAAGCACGTGCATGGGTCAGTCCCACAACAAGTCACAAGCAAATAATGCCAACTTTGTAGCGTTCACGGAACAAGCATGTATGCATTCACAAAAATGTCATAGTATTTCCATGCTCATCAGTGGTTTGGGACAATTCATCTGTAAACAACAATCCGGGCATCGTTGTTTCGCCACTGGCAACTCGGCGCCCACCGTGTATCCATTGGATACACAGCGGGTGCCATTTCGAAAGTGGCAACTCGGCGTCCGCCGTGTATCCAATGGATACACGGCGGGCGCCGTTTCACCAGTGGTAGCTCGGCGCCTGTCGTGCTTGCAACAGAAACACGGCAGCACTGTGCATCCAACCAACTCGCAGTTACAATACGATACATGGCGCCGCCGTGTTCCTAGTGCAAACATGGCGCCTGCGTGCAGCCAGCCGATTCTCAACCACGACATAGTAATTGGCAATGCCCAAACCAAAAATGCATGTTCACGCTCAGGCACCTCCCCCCCCCCTTTCGTCCGGTGCCTTCCGCACAATGGAGAAACCTTGCGCAATGGCTCGAGTTGCGTTGCGGTCCAACCACTGCCTACCCTTTGTGGGGCTTGCGCCTGCTTGATGTGACCTTCGCTGTGGCCAAGAACCGGGACTGGACTGTGACCTCCGCCTCCTCGGTAGGCAACGTTCACATGCATGCCCTTGCTTTCTCATGCACGCTCATGCATGGCAACACCAAAACCTGTCTTGTGCACAGCCTACCATGCGGTGTAACCTCCAACGCATGCCCGGGTTGCGGTGCGGGCTGAACGCCACCTGCCCCTTGTGGGGCATGCACATGTTCGACTTTGTTGGCCATTGCGGCCATTGAGATCTAGGACTTCCGTATCCTCGGCAACCAACATTCGCATGCATGAATGCTTTCTCTTGCACCCTCATGCACGGCATACACACACCCCGTTCCCTGCACACTAGCCCACCACGCAGCAAAGCATCTTGCGCATGCCCGAGCCCCGCCGCAGTTTGGCGACTGCCTGCCCCACGTGCAGCTTGCACCTGGTTGGGGTGACCTTTGCGGCCAATGCTATCCAGGACCTCCGCCTACTCGGCAACGTTCGCAGGCATACCTGCGCTTCCTCATGTACGCTAATGCACGGCACACACACATCCCATTCCGTTCACACCGGACCAACTCGCAGCAAAGCCTCCCGCTCGCGCTAGGGTCGTGCTGTGGGCCCCCAACCCATTGCCGGATTCCATCAAGTCCTCTCACCTCATTCTTCTGGAATGGCTACAACAGGGGTAGCAGCGGCTCCAACCGTCGTAGTGCCTGGAGCAATGTGGATAGTGGCAGCACTCGCTGTGGCGGCACCCGGCGTAGCGGAGGTGGTGGCGGCTCTGTGCTGTCTGTGATCCTCGCGTGTTCTTCTAGAACCTTTCGTTTCTTGTGGCAGCTGATAGTGACAGTCTCGCAACAGCGCTGACTCTACTATGTTTGTGGGCCAGTGGCCACATGGAGGTGGCTGGAAAATTTGAAGCAAAAGGTTGCACCGCTGTGGTAAAGCAGGTGTGTAGGAGTGTCCAAGTACTATTTTTGTTTCCCCTCAGCCTCACCGGACGTTGTCCAAATTCAACTTTCTTTTTCATTCCTGTGCCGGACACTTCGTCCGAATTGATATGGCCAAACTTGCTGGATGTGGTTGCCGTGGTTGATGGCAACAACCTTTTTGCTGACAGTCTCACACCCACAATCTTCACGAGTGTGGAATCGGTGGCCTTGACAATGTGGGTGGGGATGGGGGGGTCGGGGACGGCCTGTGGGAATGCTTGCATGAATGTGCGTGGAAGTTTGAGAGCGGGCACAAATGACCAGG